AACAATCACAGAAAAGGGGACTGCTTGCTGTAGAGGTATTTGTCAGTGGACAGAAGTGTGCCGCTCTGGTAGACTCTGAGTGCTCACAGACGCTGGTGAGCAGAGCTGTATGCTGTCTTTGGAGGCAGAAGGAAGTGTAAGTATTAACAGTTGGTGGGAGAACCTTGAAATGATGTGGGTATAGCAAAATCAAGTTAGGCATCAGGCTGGCTCGTCCTGTGACTATTGAGGCCTTGATCATTGATAGACGATTTTTGGGATATGATCTTATTCTTGGGACCGTCGCAATCAAGGAGCTCGGAGGTGTGTGCCTAACCGGATTGGGTAAAGTGATGGAAGCCTAAACCTGTGCACTGCCATTTCTATTGACGAGCCTGACTTTAGCATGACATTCAATAAAATTACTAAGGTGTGGACTGCCTCATGGAAATGGGCAAGTGGTCATGCACCCGGTGAATTGAAAAATAAGGTGCCAGAATACACAGTGACCAACAATGTTCAGGATGCATATGAGAAAGAACTCTTATTGTGGCAGCATAATGGATAGCTGTTGCTGTATCCTGAAAAAGATTTTGGCCCACCCAGGGAGTTTGATTCCTTTGATGATGATTGTACAAGAGCACAAGCAGAAGGTCCAGCCGGTGCTCGACTATCACGAATTGAATGAATTTGTGGAGGCATTCACTGCTAATATGGACATGTGCATGCAGAAGCTTAGAAAATGGTGATGACAAGGAGCCAATGTACTGCTCTTGGACCTAAGAAAGGCCTATTTGCAAATCCATGTTGATATGGTGTTATGGCCCTTTTATGGTTTTTAAGGGTTAGTGATTTTGCCTTACACAATTGGGTTTTGGGTTAAATGTGGCGACACTCATCATGAGAGCTGTTATTGGTGCAGTAGTGAATCAAGATCAGGTGATTAAGAGTGACATGTCGACATATATTGACAACATTTTCATCACTAAAAAGCTGGTTTCTGCAGCGCATGTGCAGAAGCACCTATCTGATTATGGTTTTGTCTGTAAAGATCCAGAGCAATTGGAAGATGGAGTCAAAGTCCTGAGTTCTCAGGTCTGGGGGGAGGACGGCATCCTTTGATGGAAACGGGGAGGTGTAGTCCTGGACGTTCTACAGATTGTCACTTGTCAAAGCATTTTTTCTCTATGTGGGAAACTTGTAGGTCATTTCCCTGTGGGTGAATGGCTCAGAGTAGCAATTGCATTTATAATGCGGCAGGTGACCATAGTGACCAACGGATGGGATGATGAAGTCAAGGATGTCCATCCATTGCATGCTAACAGAAACAGTGGCCAAAGTACACGAGATGGATCCCATGAGAGGAGACAGATGTGTGGATGGTAGTGAGATGAAGGTGTAGGTGGATGCAAGTTCTGTGGCCACATGAGTGGCACTAGAAGTGAATGGGAGCATCGTGAAGGATTCTTGTTGGTTGCGTCCAACTGAAGATACCAGTGATATCAACTTGGCTGAGCTTGATGCAGCAATAAAAGGCATAAATATGGCCCTTCAATGGCAGGCGTCGGTTTTACATTTGGTTACAGATTTAACATGCATGCATTGATTTATATCTAACACACTGACTTGGAAGGCACAGGTGAACACAAAGATGGCTAGTGAGATGTTGGTAAGATAGCGCTTAGAGACATTGCGAGCATTGGTGGACAAATATGCCTTGATGATAGATGTGACACTGGTGAAATCCTGTCTAAGCTGCACTGATTGCCTTACCCGAGTGCCACAGGGGTGGTTGGATTTATATAGGCAAGGAGAAGAGCCAGTGCCAAAAGGCTGCGCCACTGTGGGGAATAAATTGAATGAGAACCAGGTGACCAATATCCACCACCAAAGTGACCAACCTGGTGTGAAGAGGACCTTATACTTTTCCAGGTCTGTTGACCCATTAGTGTCTAGAAAGTTTGTTGAATCTGTTGTCAAAGCCTGTGAAGCTTACCAGTCAATTGATCCAGCACCGGTGCATTGGAAGAAAGGAACACTGGGTGTATAGTTAACTTGTAGGTTAGTGATGGACATTACTCACTACAGAGGTGGTCATTTTCTCATGCTTATTGATTGCAGTCACTCTTGGTTTGCAATATGGCAGCCACTGTATCGACGGGACTCCGCTAGTGTCATTTGTTAGCTGAAATGAATTTTCTATGAGTGGGGCCTGCTGACTGAAATATTGACTGATAATGACACTGTGTTCACTTGTAAGCACTTTAAGAATTTTTTAAATAGCTGGGTGGTGCACTTGAGATTCCTATGCACCAGCTGGGAATGGTATCGTTGAACACAGTCATAGAAGTATCAAGACCATCGCAGCCAGAAAGCAATGTTCTGTGCCAGAGGTAGTCTACTGGCACAATGTCACTCCCAAGGACAGCCTTTCATCTTACGCAACACTGGCCGACATGCTGCATAGGTAACACATCCGGGTATGAAACATCAATGCCACACCCTCACTTGCATTGCAAAACATTCAAGAGGGCCTACAAAGAGGGGAACATTGTCTGGGTAAAGACTCCACACAGTAGATGCACGACCAAATTCAAAATGGGTTGCATAACTCAAATGATCATTCTGCAGTGGGTGCAGATTAATGGAACGCCGTGGCATGTGAAGAATTTACGTCCTTTTCTGGGATCATATCCATCAGGCTCTAATAGTGGCACAGAAGAGAGTGAATGATTTGTGTACTTAGAATTGAGTTCACCAGGAGATTCCTCCAATACCAGCAGTTCAGAGAGATACCGGAGCGCCCAATGACACTCTAGGCAGTAGCTTGTCTGAGAATGAGACATGTGTTGTTCCTCTTCAAAGGAGTACCCAAAAGAAGAGACCTGCTCTAGGATGCATCAGCTGTGATCAGGAGATGGTGTGTGTGTGGGGGGGTGTAGAGTGTAGCGGAAACTTACCTTGGCAACCTGAAAGGGCCAGAGTCACATGTATGTTTTGCAATGGAGTGTGGAGATGGCGTATTGGTGAGCTTCCGACTAATGGGGAATCATGCAGCACTTTGTGTTGTTGGAAGTGGTCATGTCGCTTGTAGACATTTTTATTGGCTGGTTCTGGGTGCTCATTGGCTGAGTGATGGCCGGGTCGGGTGCATAAATTGCTCATTCAAGGGGAGTTTTTGGCTTGAGATGAGGAGTGTCGTATTTGAGATTGAGATGTGGAGAGAATTGTGGATTTGTTTTGCTAAGTGGACCTACTGGATTCACATATAGTTTTTTTTTTTCCTTTTTCGCATGTGCTTCCAGTCAATTTTCACACAGGTTGCAAACAACATTTTCAAAAATATGAATAATTATTTTTTTTCCTATTTTTTTCTTATTGGAGTCAATCAAACTAAATGGACATTTTAAACATCATAACTCAGCTTAAACACAACTTTATTGGTCAAAGTAAGCTCTATTTGAACTAGTACAATGTTACCAACAAATTTATTTTTACATGATAAAAACAGGGGTCATGGAAGTTGACAAACTACCAAAAGGTATTTCTGACCTGGTCATCATTGATGTACACTTGCTTGCATGTATATGCGTCCAAGGCCTGGCAAAAGTGGCAATTCATTCAGGAAAAGTTTGGTAAATGGAAAATGATCTTAATGTATAACTGCATCAGTTTTTGCTGGGTGGTAAATGGGTGGTAATGTGTGTGAAGGTATGTTCTTATTGGTCATTCCTAATGGAAAGGAACCAACAATCATATTACTTACAATTGGACTTTTGTTTCCCTCTTACCACAACATTTTGGCCATTGTGCTGCTTGACCTTCTTCAGGTGTCTGTCTAGATTAAATAAGGGTTCAGGTCAAAATTTGCTGAAGACTACCTGGAGCAACAGACATTGGAAAAGGGCAGGAGACCTAATGTTCAGAATGTTGTGTTAAAAATTATGTTTTAGATAATAATTCAACTGATATTAATTGCTTTTGATAAATTATATGATAAAACTTTAACTATTTTTAGCACAGTCATAATCAATATTTGATATAGTCTGCTGAAATTATCTAATTGATAATTAGATTGGTATGAAGTACAATTGATTAACAGGTAGATATGTAAAACTTGTTACTTAATTACTTTGTTATAGGAAAAATTGTAAATCTTTAAAAATGTTCTTTATTTGAAACAAACCTATACTTTTAATATTTATCTCGATGAGTTAAAAGAGAAAAAAAATACTACTGAAAATATCTTTAAATATAAGCATTAGTTTTCTATTCTAATTTATTTCAAACAACACAGTAATAGTTTCCTGTTTTCTTTTGAACTAAATTCAGTTTAAATTAAAGATTATTGTTTGTTCCAATCTGTTTGGAATGATTGCTAAAACATTCCTCTTCCCAAATTTATAGACAAATTCTACAGATGCATGCTAGGATTTTTTCCTAGTAAAAATGGACCACTTCTCGGTCTTATCTGCCATATTTTTGTTTTTTTCTTGTCTTGATGTCTGAATGCTACAATAATTTGACTGTATTCTTTTTGCATGTAAACACAATTCTTACTTTGTGAATTTTTTGCCTTATTACTGTTGCTTTGCCTAGTTTTGACTTGTATATACATATTGTTTGTTTGGTATTATTTTGCCCTGTTCTTTTTCTTTCTTTACTTACTGTTTATTGGAAACTGAGTCAATTCTGTTTGTTGAGCATTTTGCCAATTACACTTAAATATGGCCAATTACTCCATAATTATCAACTTTTCTTTCTTAATATGAAAATAATTCTGAACATTTGACATATCCCTGTCTTTCTACCTCCTCCTTTGTGTATTTATCTAATAGTGCTATTTCTTCCTCTCTTCACCTGTGACTTATTGAACCAATTTTAAAGAGTTTTGTTTCTTTTGTGATGAACTCATAAACATTTACATTGAATATGTTAACTTCTAAGATAAAATAAACCAATGAAAAAATTATACTTCATTTTATACTTTGCCATGAAAAGCATATTCCATTCTTTTGTAGATTTTTGGTAATTGCCCAAAATTTGCCAAAATCTCTACGGGGTAAGGGAAGTCGTTTAACCAGAGAAGTTGGACTGACATGTTTTTCCTGCAGCCACTATGAAGACAATTCATTTCTTGTAGGCTCAGAAAGTGGTACCATCTTTAAATGCTCCAGAGATTCTTCTAGCATATTGATACCTGCTGATGGTAATATTTGAAAGCTAACAATTTCTTTTTTTTTTTAATTAATTCTTCTTTGTTTTTTTGCAATTATTTTGTTACATACTTAAACCTTAATAACATTTGTAATAACAAATATATTTTTCTATGCATTATACTCTTTCCTTTTGCAACATACTCTCTTGAGTATTTTTATCTTCTAACAACAGGATAGCTTAAATTTTTTATTTTATTTCTGTGCACAACAAACTAATTTTCATCAGTGTTTTTAAGTGGAAAATGACTGTCAATGTTTACAGCCACATCCCAAAGACAAAAGCTTTAGTTTGTATTAAAACTGGAAATATAACTTTTATAAGAACAAAAAAAATTATAATATATTTCACTACTTTTAGAAACTTTGAATGTTTTTGAGAAACATTAATAACTAATTTTTTTTTAATCCTTTCATCCCAAGCAAGGCAATAAAGCCACTAAGACTCAAGGAACTACTGAGTGTGAAAGAATATGAAAAAAAGGAAAACTTTATTAAGGAGAAAGAACAATAGAAAAACAGGAATTAAGAAGATAGAATATAATGATTGACAATGCATTTAAATTTTTGAAGATGAAAATTAACTTAAAAGCAATTGACCAAAAGACAGTTTCACAAGCAAGTAGTCTGAGAGAAGAAACTGTTAGCATAGAACTTACAGTTACTTTTAGCTATTTCAACTATAAAATGATGATACCTAGCTGCCAATCATTTGAAATATGAATAATTATTCCTTTTTTTTTGATGAATTGACATACTACAAGGAGAAGAATTTGTAATATGTGATTCATACCAGGAAATACCATAGGTCTGAACCAAATTTAATCTCTCTCAGGAACCTTTGATCTAAGAAGAGTTGATCTGTGATGACCCTGATGTGTACTGGGTTCACCTTAAGAGATACCAAAGTAAATTTTGTACTCAATATCATCTCAGTATGTCCCAAGAATTGAACTAGAAGCTACCAAGCCACCAAATGTAGAGTCGGGCCTCATAGGATGCTGGGGGGGGGTGCACCAGCAAGGAAGTGAACCAAAATGAACTATGTATATACACTCACAAGACAACCGGACGGACAACAAGGAGTTACATAAACATCCAACTTATGAATAGAGAGAGAGAGAAAATTCTTTGAAGTGTTGCAAGAAATAATTGAATGTTTGAAGCAAGACCTGAAAACACATAACCTCAATTTGGCTTACATTAATTTGACAGAGTTCAGAATTGAATAAATAAGTTATTTTACACATGAAAAAATTAGTTTTGTATTTTTACCAGATATTACTAACATTACAAATTTTATCCAAGCATTGGCAACATCATTATTTTTAAATTGATATTAAAAATGATTCCAGATCACTTAACCACAACACTTGCTGATTTATTTGCAACTTTTTAACTGTTTACTGTTTCTTTTAATTTCAGATGAGAAAGGTTGCTCTGTACCTTTGATGGCTCCAATAACCCTTTCTTATAAACCACATATTGGACCAATTAATGCCATTGATTATTCATCTTTTCATCAACAAGCCTTTCTCTCTGTAGGAATGGATGAATCAATTAGAATATGGAATGCCTTGGAGGTGAGCTTAAAACAAAATGTCTGTATTTTTCTATTGCTCAACTCATCCTTGTGCTTATGAATTGTAATATTTTTATTGATGATTCCTATTTTATGTTTAATCTGGTTTATCTGTTTTGTATTTTGTCAATAAATCCTCACATATTATAAGGAAATTAGAAAAACAGATGGAATGGACTGGAGTTAAAATGAAACTAGAATCAGTTTATTATGAGAAGTAATACAATTTACAATATGTTTTTCTACTAAATATCACTCAATGTAAGGCTCAAGAACCACTCAAGGTGACAGTCAAAATGGTAATGATGAATGAACACGATATGAATGGAAGTGAAGATTATAAAGATAATGATTGACCCTTGACTTCTTCAAGTCTTCCTGGAAGCAATTATGTGGGATCCTGTTCTTGGGGAAAAAAACTGTCCGAGTACAACATTTTTTCTTACATATGGAACACGGAGGAAATAAGTGTGATTCAACTCCATGGAAGTAGTATGGTGGTGTCCTTGCAGCAAATATCTGAACTGGTGGCACTAATGAATAGAGCTCATTTAAACATTTGTCACTGAAATAGCAAGAGAGTATCAATAGGCTTGCTACTGCATCTGCAGGGAAATTGATTGTAGAGTGAAAAAATAAGTTATCCCTTACAAGATCAGGTAAATGATTTTGAACTCAAAACTTTAAAGTGAGAATTGACCTGCTCCAGTCCTGATATATCGGCAATAGTCTATATTTGGCCTAATCTAATTCTTGTAAAGATACAACATGTCAGTAAGAGTCAGATATAGTGAACTGATCTTTCTTCCATGTTCTTCAGCAATGAATTTTATATGAGTTCAACCTTAGGTGTGAATTGAACCGGAGACCCAATAGATGTTCAAACCCTGGAGCCTCATTGAGAGTGGAACTGTTAATTGTGACTGAAGAAAACATGGGGTCTGAATGATGATGACAAAATGATACTAGCTTGGTTTTTGAGATATTGAAAGTAACAAGCAAGTTATTTCCCAATTGAGTGCTAAGACTTACATCAGAAAAGAGATCAGCTGCAAGGTTCCAATCATCTTGGTTTTTGGTAATGCGTCCACAGCAAAGAAAAGTTTAGAAAACTTTTAAGAAATGTTTTTTAGATCAGGTATTATTATTTTTTTAATGATTACTTTGTGTGAGTAGTGTTTTAGAATTTTTACACTAAGTAATATTTTTTGAGGTTGCATTAAAAAAGCTAAACACTATACTTTCTTTCTTTAGACTCAACCCATAAAAGTTCTTGAGCCTGGCCAGGGTCCAGTGCTGTGTGGAGCCTGGTCTCCTGTGAGACCAATGGTCATTGCTGTTACTACAGAGAAAGGACAATTGTTGCTATATGATCTGAAATGTAGTTATGCACTACCTCTACATGCATTGCAAGCATCCAAAAAAAATGCACCTGTCTTTGTCTGCAGTTTCAACAAACAATGGTAAGAAATGTTCATGAGATAATAAAAGGCTTTTTCATTGCATATTGTGGGTTTTTGGTTTCATAGATTTATATATATTGCAAAAAACAAATTACTCAGTTAAAAATTTACCAATTTTGTATTTATTTTTTATTTTTTCTCTGTATTTTGTAAAGTTTTAAAGCAATTACAATTCTCAAGGTATTAAAAAATAATTACTTGCTTCTCTTATCAGAACTGTTCATGTGACACACTTTACCAATGTCAGTAGTTTTGTAAATGTTGACATAGTTCAAGTTGGGAACAGTCATTTGGATAATAGATTTATACAATTTGAAATGACCACTTCCCATAGAATATGTATATAAAAACTTTGGGCAAACATTGCATAAGAGATTACAAAATGGGGGACTTGACCTATTTTTGCCAAAGACTGACATAACTACTTTTGGTTGCTAGTCCTTATTGTGATTCTTATCTACAAATCTAACACTAGTAAAAGTACCTGTTACTCTTTTTTCTTTTTAAGATAGTGTTTGGGATCATTATTTAAAGTTGAATTTTGGTAGGTATTTTATTACAAAACAAAATATAAGTGTGCTTTAATAATGATATTCACACAGTTATATCTAAAAGTAAGAAGATTTTGTTTATTAAAAGCAAAACCAAATGTCAGGAAGTAAAATCATAATGAATTTGTATAACGCTAAATATAAAGAATAACTGGAGTGGAACTATCAGCTGAGGTAGATTATTTCACCCATAAAATGTTTAGCAGATATAGCAGATTTACACAATAGAAAGAAAAGAGAGAAAGTGAAAAATATCTGGTTATGCAAGCTTCTATTTTTGATAAAAGTAATTGAAATATAACAGAAGGGTGTGACAAAATAAACAAAAATTGTACATTTAAATCAGGACAAAGATATGTCTTTTTTGTTTATCTTTTTATCCATTTCTTTATTAAAGTAAAGATTAGAATTATGTATTTACAAACTTTTATATTGGAATTGTATTTAAAAGAAAACAAAAACAGGTGTTTTTTTCCATAACCAGATTAAGAAAAATACTAAAGATTTTTTTATTGTTTATGTCTGTAAGAATATATATGCAACGTTGTTTGTGTAAAGAAAAACAAACATTTAAGCTTGTAGTGAAGTTTTATTCAATGCAGTTTGACTTCTGTTCATAATTGAGGTTCAACCATTTCTTTTATAGTCAAGTAGTTCAAGGTAGAAATAACTATGGTTGTCTTCACCACAGTTTAGATATATTAATCTCCTCTTTGTATAATTGCAGTCATTAAAAATATGACTTTGAGAAGAGTCATTAACATATCCACATTGTTTAGATGTTAAACTATCCTTTGCTCTTTTCTCACCTTTTGTCTTTATCTTCTCATTCTTGCCCTTATCCTTTCCACTCTTCATTGCCCATCCATGTTTTTATCAGGATTAGTTCTGTATGTGAAAAAAAAAGAAGTAAAAATGCACAAATACATTCTACTGCAATGTATTTTAATTTTTTTTTTAATCTATATATCTGACAAATGGTGGGTAGTTAAATGAAAAAAAGGAAAATCCTGTGATGTGTTTCATCCTTCAAAACTCTTTGTTTTGTCCTTTTAAACACCTCCAACATCCTAATTATTTCATATAAAATGCTCATTATATTAATAGAACTAAGAAAAACAATACAATCTTGATAAAACTAGTCATATCATATGGTCTAACAATGCAATAATGAATGCAATTGAAAATGATTTATCTAAACTTATAAAATTTGTTACAACTACTTCAAAAACAAAAGATTTGATTAATAGAAAACAAAATAATATCAACTTAAACCTGAAGTAGAAATTTACTCTGCAAACTGTAATAACTGTCACAAGAAATACATAAGTGAAACATCTAGAAATTTAAATATGTACCCAAAAGTTATCTTTTACAAAACAATACACTCAATGCATTAGGACACCAGAAATAAGTATTGCTGCATTTTCGGTGTTGCTGTTGAGATATAATTATAACTGATGTTTAATTGTATTTTCTTTCCTTCCCTACATATATGTAATCTCATCAATTAGCTCATAAAAAGTCCTTTTGAAGAATGAAACACATCACATAGTGTTTTTTCCATTTTGTTATTCAACAACCCATCATGTGTGCATGTATGAATAAATATATATTCCTTTCACATGGTTTTCTTTTCATTAAATCTCTTCCTATTTTTCTCCTTCACTCTATTTCACTCCCCTATCGTCATTGCTTTCATCCAATTCCATCTAAATTATTAATATGTTTTTTGTTCAGAGAGCCTAACTTAGTGCCTATACATTGATCTTAGAAAAGCATAATATATAAACAAACAGAATGATAGTATAGATAATGTTAGCTAAACTACACTGGACTGGCACTGTTGAGTGCAGCGAGGGGCCTATCAAATAGGTCCCTGAGGTGACAGTTGAGTGCAGCAGAAGAGGATGGCCTAAGATGACTTGGCAGGATGTTTTTCAGAAGGACATGGGAAAATTAGACCTGGAACTAGCTGATGCTAGTGACAGGTGTATGTGGAAAGGTAAACTGAGATCATCTGCCAGGTAGGACCCACCTTGCTTTATGCAAGACTAAGTTTTATCCTGCCTCAACAAAAAAAAACATGGTTATGATGATGACAGCCTGCAAATTTAAAAAAAAAATATTTTATCTGTTTTGTATTATTTGTAATACATTAGCAACAGACTATGGTTAATTTTTTGTATTAGCATAAATTAGCAAAGGTGGAAAATTAGCACCTCATAAGCAGCAGCTTCAGGTAAATGGAGCTTGACAGGTCAGGAAGGCAGTATATCTAGGGGAATTGTATTCTTTTGGATTTTGTTGGTATGGCCAAGAGGGTCCATTTGGTATGGGCAGCTCACGGCCTCTATCTACTATTGCTCAGGTCTGCGCACTGGAGAGGCCACTCCAGTTTCCCCACCAAAGGACTGAAATTTGACCAAATAGGGTGCTCCCTTTATCTCATGGGATAAAATAAGCAATTCTGCATTCTTTGCAAGTAGTAAATTAACTTATTATATATTAATAAGCATTATATGATATATAACATGATTATTTTTTAGATTGTTTTTTTAAATTGATACTTTAGATTTATTATAAACTAAAATACACTATTCTGTTACATAAATGTAATTGCCAGTTTACATCACATATTTACTTTGATAATAAAAAAACCATTAATCATATTCTGCAAATATTTTTATTTTTTTTTCAAAGTTATTTATTACCAAACAGCATTTAATTAAAGTTTTATTTTAACATAATTAAATGCTAACAACTTTCTGATAACATTTCTTGTGTAGTTAATTTGATAATATTGTAGTCTGCTGAAGATAAAAGACAGGGATAATAGATTCATCACTACACTTATAAAACATTCCTGATATGAAACATCTTTTTTAAAACATTGCTGATATGAAACATTTCCAGTAAAACATTTCTGATATGAAACCTTTCCTTTTACAAGCAGTTATTTCATACCTAATTTATCTTGCTAACTCCAGTATCTAAGTTGGAAATAATCCTTTTTATAATTGGGCTTGTCCCTCTCTCTGTTAATTCACGCAACTGTTGTGTCCTGCTAATACCTCATAAATAATGGACTATTCCATTTTGATTGCATGGAAAGAGGGAAAAAGACACTACCTAGTTTCAGTGAGAAAATGAAAGAAAGAAATAAGTGAAGATAGAATTTTTTAATGACTTCTTCAGTGAAATAGAAAAAATTGTCAATTTCAAATCTTTTCATTTGTACCCACTTCTTAAAATAATAACTAGCATTCATATTTATGGTTGTTATTGCAATATTTTGTTAAAGTTGTTAAGCTCAATTATTTAATGATACAATAGGGGAATTTCTACAATTATAAAATTATTGTCATAGAACTTGCCATGAGTGTACTCTCTCATTAACTTAAGAATTAAAATTCGTCAGAATGTTAAAATAGGGAAACTGTGAAAATTTCACTTGTTAAAACTAGTAATAATTAAATATTATCATCATCCTTAGGCATTTAAAGTGATTCTTAAACTGGGCAAGAGAGGAACTGAGATATTTGGATCAAGAAATTTGTGACCATTTATGAAGTCTTTTATACAAAGGGAAGCATTGATAGGCTTTATGTGAAATGAGGAAAGAGGGGTCATTAATATTGATTATTGTGAAGACTTAACTATCAAGTGGCTTTCAGGTGAGATAGCATGTACATAAAGTACATTTGGAAAGAGAAACTGAATCTCTTAATGATGTTTCAGAATAAGTCTATAAGAACTGACTATATTAAAGCCAATATAGACTAGATGCAACAAAATAGTTAATGCAGACTATGAAGAGAGAGTTATTGTAGTAAATTAAATCAGGTATATAAAAATAACTATGAATGGGGAGGAAAGGTAATTCACTAGGAATTGTGCAAATACACTGCTCTTCTAATTTGTTGATGGAATAAGTAATACAGTTAATATTATTAATGTCAGAAGCAAAAAATAAATTAGATTGATAATAAAATACAGTTTGCATTTAGTCAGCAATACTGGAATTAATTTAACAGCAACTCTTTAGTTGATTAATTTGAACCATATCCTTTAAAATGGATGAAGGCTAATATAGTCATTTAAGATGGACAAAGGCTACTATTGTTATCTAAGATAGATGGATCATACTTTAAAATTTTAGATGGATGCTATAGTAGATATTTAAACATTAAGTTTCTTGTATCATTTTAGTAGAAGCAATGGTATTATGTGTTGTAGAGTGATTGAGACTAGATTTTTTTATTAATTCATACAGATTGTTTATTAATAAAATACTTCTTTTTCTTTCTATTTGCAGCACCCATCTTCTGGCTACAGGGGATGGTTTGGGTTATGTTCACATCTTTCATCTTGATGATGATTTGTCTCACCAAGACCCAAGGGAAGTGGAGCAATTTGTATCTCTAGTCTCAACTTCTGAATGAATAAATTTGCACTAATAGAGCTCTTGCATTCAGAGTTTTACAATACCAATTGAGTTATAAATTTTTGTGTATAATAGATATTTTTAATACTAATTCTTTCTCTGAAACAGTAGTTCTCCACCAGAGTGGAATTCCTGCTCAGCAAGAAAATAAAGGTTTCAAGCCAGAATTGGGATTACAGATTAGCAGATACAAACTGCTGAAATATTTATCTTTTTGCAAACTACAATTCTACAATGAACCTTTTGAATCAGACAATTTTGGAAGTGGGAATGGTATGCTGAAATATCGTGAAGAGTGCATCAGCAAAAGATGGTTGAAAATGTCTGATTTTAAAAAAGAGAAAGAGGTTAATGGTTATAAATCAATAGAATTGTTTCAAATTGCAGTTTAGTTTTGACATTCATGAAGAGTAAATTGGAAGAATTATCTCACTAGGATTCAGAAATGTTAAATTTGTCAATAGATGAATGACAATTGAGTTTAGCTTGTTACAAGTACATGTAATTGTTCGTTTTCCACTGGCATTAGGAATTAAGCTTGTGAAAACCTAGTTTTTACATGCCAATTTCCAAAGCAGTTAGACTCGCCTTTGTTGAAAAATTGCCAAAAAAAGCATTTCTATTCACCTGCATTGTATATCTACATTGATGGCAACTTAATTTCAAGAAAGAAATGTTTATGTTCATAGAGTGGTAGGACCTCAGTGTATAGGAGATGAGACTTTCTGCAAAAAGAGGAGATATTTGACCAAAATATTTGTTCTGATTTAGTCAGATGAAATTATTAATGTTTTTGATTTTGATGTGGCAACTATCATATTGTCATGTCATATCATGAGTTCTGTAATCCATTAGGGTTTTGGGAGCAACACATTTGGCAGGTACAAACTGTTGGAATATTGGTCTTTTTGCAAACTACAGTTCTGTGGCAGCAGAGGTAAGTCTAGAAAAAAATAGTCTGATGGAGCCCATCTCTCTTTAAGTTGGTTTTGAATTCAGTTTTCCTTCTAGATTGATTGCCACTCAAGGCAACAGAGAACATAGCCTATCTTGTTATTTAACCCAGAGCTGAAGGAAGATGGATTCATGCCTTTTCTAAGGGAATGAACACAAAGTAAATGAAACAGAATCAACCAAAATCTGAACTCGGTTTACTGATTTCATTTTCTGTGCCAATAACCATTATACCAGCTGTGCATCTGCTGCAGAAAAAAAAGGTTCAAAATTAGCATATTATTGTTTATTAATTCTAACATAGAAGATAGAAGAAAATAAGCCACATTTTCTGAATATTATGCTTTTTTTGGTTTTAAGAAAAGTAGAAAATATGACTTAAAAAAATTATGAGAAAGTATTGTGAATGATTGAATGGGTCAAAAGTGATTTGCAAAGTTTTATGATGGAGACTTTTTGTAGAATTATGCTTTTTCACATCACAAAAACAAAAATAAAACTATAATCAACACATTTTCTATAGAAGCCAAGCAATGAACAATGATGGCCAAAGAGTACTTGATGAAAACATTGCATCTATAATAACATGTATAATAATCAAAATGAGAATGATAATTCAAATACATTAGTTTGACAATTTCTTAAAAATTAAAATATAAAATTATCAAAAGCAATATGAACCTGTCATGATATCCAAATGTTGTAACCATCTGACATTGAATATAAAGGCTCAAAAAATACACCACTGATAACCTTCTGAATGGTGATGTAGTAGACACAGTAGTCGGTTAAAATGTGTGTTGGTGTCATCAAGAGGTGAGTTCAGTCCCTGGATTGGGTAGTGAAACAATATACACTGATTCAGCAGGAATGGACAAGAACTGGTATGATAGAGTAAAATAAAAATAAGTAATATCCCATATTAACAAAACAATGGATGCTTGAAGATAGCCAGAGGATCAGTCAGTTATATGCCATGCATAACACATGCTTAAGCAATCATGTATTGAAAGATACATGACTGACAAGGCAGATTTTTTTCCTTCAGTAGGTTGCCATTTCTTTCTATGGTAGACCAGTTGCCATCCAAGGCTATAGAAACCAGTCTGTCCTGCTATTTACCCATAGCTGGGGGGAAAAGATGAGTCATACCTTTCTCAAGGGTATTAGCACATAAGTGAATGTAATGAATTTGACTGGAATTTGAACTCGGCTCTCCAATTTCTCAATTCGATTCACTATCCATTACTCCACTGTGCTTCCCTTCTGGTGGAGTAATGGATAGTGGCTCAGATTTACATGATTTAAGAGTGTATCACACATGGCACATAACTGACAGGTCAGAAGATACTTGGCTGAGTGAAATGTTGTGTCTTTAATAATGTCTATAGTAATGAAAATGAGAACAGTAGTTTGAATAAATTAAATGGTTATGGCATATCAATCTCAATGGATTATTTAATGCTGACAAGATTTTTAGAATAGATTCATATGAATAGAATATATATTCTTTTAAGAAATCAATTTTTAGATCAGGTTTAATTGCTGTATTTTTGTAAAGAGGGTTTTTCTCAAGAGTCAAATGTATTGCTGGTATTTTTTTTTCCAAACATTATTTTGACCCCAGTTTGGGGCTTAACTATTTGCACATAGCTAGCCCCTCCCCCTCAACAGGTGCTACCACTCTGATTCAGGATGGATATGGGAACAACAACAATTAAGAGGTGGTGCCAAACTTCTTAAAAAACTTCCTGATCAGAGGCCTTGCTTGCCAGATGTAGTTTATCTTCATACCCAGGATACAAATAAATACATAATCACCTAAGCGTGGATAATGCATGGCATATAAATGACTGGCCAGAGGATACTTGGTTGAAATGTTGTCTTTAATAATATCTATAATGATGCTTTACTGTTGAATGGATCAGTTGACTGCAATCAAATGAAAACATTACTTGATAATAATAATAATATGAGAAATATCCAACATACTGAAAATATTGAATTCAAACAATAAAAATTATTTTCATCAGTTTGGTTATTTTGATGTATAGTTTCTATGTGATTCATCACTTAAGTACCAGGCCACATCATGTTGAAACACTGGTTCCTGTACAATCACTGAAGTTAAGCAATGTCAAGCCTGGTCAGTATCAAAATTGCTGACCACTTGGGAATACCACATGCTGTAAGCTTGGATTTGCAAGTGGGGTAATGGATAATGGTTTGAAATTGTTAATTGGAGAGCCAAATTCCAATTCCAGTTGGGTTTGTTTTATACACTTACACACAAATGACCTTGGGAAATGTAGGAATCCACCTCTTCTCCTCACAGCTATGGGTTAATTAGTAATACTTGTACCACTAAACCAATATTATCTCTAAAAATAAAATAACAATTGTGTACAAAATATTTAGATTTTGGCATTAAATAACTCATAGAGGTTGATATGCTGCTAAATGACCAACCATTAAAATGCAACAAAATGTTCCAGTAGGCATTGAATACTTAACAATGTGAATTGCAAGATATCTTAAGACAAATGAATCATCACTAACTTTTCCAAAGGTCACTCTTTATCCAAAACTGATGCTGTGTATATGATGGAGTTGAAAGGTTATCTTTTGAGTTCCTTTTTGTGGACTAAACAGTTGATTCAAACAAATATTTCTTCCAATCAGATCAACTGAAGGCAGCAATTAATGAAAAACATCTGGAATTAGAAAAAGGGTGTAATATTCTGTTAGGACAACATCTGGTAACATATTTGATGACAAGGTAACAATTTGTACAGCTCAGCTTTGAAGTTTTCCTCCATTTGTCATATTCCTCAGGTATAAGAACTTCAGATTATTTTGTATTGTAACTTTTACAGAATTGTTTTTAAAAATTTGAATTCTCCAGAAGACTGTAAAAGGCACCGATAGCAGTTCTTTGCTGAAATAAAAAAGGTAAAATGTTCTGTGAGATGAGAATTATGAAGTGACCTGAAATATGGCAATTGGCTGTATAAAAAAAAAATCTATTTTCAATAAGGTTAACATTGAAAAAAAATTATTTTTAGCTAATGAACTAAACTCATTTTTGCCAACCCAACAAATCAGCAGCATTTCAAAAATGAACAAGGATGCTTTTTCCAAATGTGAAATGAGTTCAAAGTTAAACATGGAAAAATTTAGAGAGGGGTTTATTTAAATATCCTAGCACAAATTCAATCATTTTAGCATTTAAAGAATGTATGTACTATTATGCCAGATTAAACATTGTGCTGAAATTTTACACCAGATCATCAAATGAAACCAAGTACAGAGTTGATTAGGAGTTACTCCCAGCCACTGAAGGCAGAAGCATATGACCTCAGACCTGCATCCAGCAAGCATGAGAACATGAACGAATGTTGGATAGATAGATCTAGAAACAACTGCCTCAGAGAGGATATGGGAAATCTCTCTCAAATATCACAGGAAAAGGTAGGGTCCATGTGTTAGACTTTGGGAGTGGGGGTCTGGTTTCGCAAACTGGCTGAGTGTAAATAAAATATTGGAGTGAATTAAGTAATGAAGGTTCAAGTTTTGTTATGTAACTGGAATGCCCACTTCATTACATACATTTTGTTATAGAGTTTTCAAACTAGAAACAGAAATGTGCAGTTACCTTTTCTTTTTTCTTAATTCTAGTTGTACTGTTAAAAAGGCATTTGATGCTAATGAGTACTCCACAGTAAGAAGATTAGTTTATATTTTATTATTACTGTTAATCTACAACATGCAAATTAGGAATTGGAGACACCAAAATAAGGCAAGTATAAAAATTTAAATATATGGGAAATGTTTTAACAGAGGATGGAAAGTGTAACACTGAAATCTGAAAGCACATTGAGATAGTGAAAGTTGCTTTCCAAAAGCTAAGCAAGGTATTCAGAAACAGAAAAACTGCATTAGAAATAAAGCAAATATTGAACTGAATATAAAGTAATCAATAAATGATAAAATAATATATATTTATATCTATCACATATACATATACATACATATATATATATA